AATAAAATCTATTATTATTTAACGGGTGCTAATAAAAACTAATAATTAATTCAAGACAATCCCTGTTATTTAAATGTCAACTTCTTCCTGAGTGGTGGTGGTGCACACCTTTAATCCCAGCACTTAGGAGGCAGAGGCAGGTGGATCTCTGTGAGTTCGAGGTCAGCCTGGTCTACAAAGCTATACAGAAAAATCCTGCCTCAAAAATCAAAGGAAAAAGAAATAAAGAAAGAAGGAAAGAAGGAAGGAAGGAAAGAAGGAAGGAAGGAAGGAAGGAAGGAAGGAAGGAAGGAAGGAAAGAAAGAAAGAAAGAAAGAAAACTTCTTTCTGGTTCACTGATGAACATGACTTAATAGCCATCCCCATTTTCCATCAGCTCCACAAATAGACTTGTTATTTGCCTTCACACATTAGGAATGGATATATAGATGATAAATAATGAGATAGATACAAGTATCTGATAGATGAGAATGATGGTAACAGATGGTACACAGATACTATGATAGATAGATGATAAATAGGTAAATACATAGATATAAATAAGTATAAATATGTAATAGATACATGACATAATGATGAAAGATAATAGAGAGCTAGATGATAGATTATGAGGAAGAAGATGCATGATGAGTAAGATAGATTAATGAACATGATGGAACTAGATGATAGCTGGATAAATAGATGGATAGGTTGACAGGTGCTAACATAGATGATTAAACATGTAGACAACAGACAGATATAGATGGTAGGGGATAGGCAAATAGATTGAAAGATATAGAGGTTGGGTACTGTAAGAGATGATACACAGACAGATGGTTAGATAGGCGGATAACTAGGCAGGTGGCAGATACAGAGACGGGATACACAGTGGAATATGGACATAATTGAGTATGTGAACTAGACAGTATGGAACAGGCTTATAATCTTATTTCTTCAATCAGAAATAGGATGCCCATCTTGGTGGATCTGATATACAGTATCATATTCAGTCTCTTGATCTTACTCATGCGCAGAAGTCTCATTGCTTTTCTGGCATCCTCAACTCACTAGGGTAGAAAGTCACCCAGCAAGGAAGTGATACACTCACAGAGGCTCATCACATCTGAGGAAATGATACACTTACGGAAACTCATCACATCACATCTAAGGAAGGGGTACTCTCACAGAGGCTCATCACATCTATCCAAGGAAATGATACAGTCATGGAAGCTCATCACATCCAAAAGTTCCCTACAGGTACAGGCTCTGTGACCCTGTCTCCTAAGAATTAGCTAGGAGCAAAAGAAAGGGCAAGGGCAAGATTGTGATATTTTTGAGTCCTAATAGACATTTACAATATGGTGGCTTTCCTTATAGTTATTTGTTTGTTTGTTTGCATGCTTGCTTTGCTTTTTGTTGCTATAGTCCAGGCTGCCAAAGAAGAGAGGTCACACCTCTGCAAAGCTTTTGCAACCACAGAGTGACAGCCAGTTTAACACAACCAAAATGATGAGGAGAGCATGGAAAGAGTTCCTGGAAACTCCCCATTTGAAACGACATGCTTCTGTTTTTGTTGAACACAGGAGTCTGACCTTGGCAGATATTCTAAAGCTAAGAACTTCTAAGAGAAAACATAGAGGTTCCCAAACCTCCATGCATCACCCTGGGAGTGAGTCATCACAGGCCTCAGAGTCTGTTTAAAGCCAGTGGCACAAACTTTTCACCACACTATGTTCAGAGTCATTTCTGCCAGCAACACCTCTCCCATTTCATCATCAGAAGTTGAGATACTCATCACAAGGCACACTGCCATGAGTCAGCAGATGAGACATTCTGCTTCTCCAAATTTGTGTCCCTGCTGGCTGGCTCTCCCTTTAATATGAGGGTATGCTCATACCCCAGCAATACACTGCATGTAAGCCAAATGCAACAGATAGACCAGGGGATTCATAGGATGGCACAAGACACTAGCAGTCTTAGAATAATACTACATAAATCCACAGCTTGTCTATTTGTCGGGGTCCTTGGCACACTGGAGAAGGCATCAAATTGGAATGATTTGAGTTAGAAATGGATGGTCCCAACTGGCAATGATCTGTCTGAGCATGCAAATTTTAGGACAAATGCCATCACTATTATTTGTCCCCCAAAATTCTACTGTGTCCATAAAATGGCCCAGCATATAAGAGGTCATCATAAGGACCTAACACCACAAGGTCTACACCCACTCCAGGTCCCGAGTTTACTTTTAGAGGATGCTGGGAATGGACTCTGGCTCCAGCTTAATTAAACTTATCTCCTCTAATACCATCTATGAGTTCAAGATAAGTCAGGCATGGATCTCTGGGTCTCTACAAAGCCCTCCCGACTCTAATACCCGGAAAACAAGTTGATGCACACTTTAACCACAACTTCCTAGAAGCTTCCTGCTCTCTAACATATAGACCCCCTTACATATCTGAGGACCTCTTTCCTCAGTTTACAGCTAACCTTTCCAAACACCAGCCCTGCATCTACCTACAAACACTTTGCACTTAGAGCAGATCAGACACAGAGAAAGCAACTCTCACTTTCCATTTTCTGAAGACACAAAAGTGTTTAAATTTTCAATACTGCCAATGGCCCGGAAAAGCAAGGCACTCTGTCTCTGCTTCAATTACCTCGTACTCTTTAAGCAAAATGAAATTTGAAGCCATGCAGAGGTTCTGGAACCAAAGGAAGAGCATTAGCATAAATATTGCTTTGGTGGAACTTACATTTTTCTTCCACTCACAGAATGGAAGCGCTTGCTTTTTATTTATTTATTTTTCCTTCCATCCTGCTATATACATTTTTAACCATCAGCAAAAACCAACTTTTGTCATCAGAAAACTGCTTTTGGCTGGGTTTTTTATTTTGGTGACTGGCAATCTATCAGAAAAAGATTAAGGATAACTTGTTTCAACTTGGAAAAAATCATTTAGTCAAGTAAGATAGCCAACCTCTGAAGAGAGAATGAAACCAAGGTCTTGTTGGTTAACATAGCTAAGTCTTGTGTTAGCAACCAGAATCTGCCATGCGAATCAGGCTTCAGGTGGCTGTAAAGAAACTCGATTATTCTCTGTGTCTATGTCAGGTTTGGTGTCCCTGACCTCTCAATACCAGGCACTAAAACAGGCAAACAATCTATGCCATCTTAGCCACAGTCCAGTCACATCAACCTGATGTCACTATAAGAAATCCTCCCTACCCAGGCTTCATACCAAACTGCTTGGAATACCAAAGAGAGCTGTTCACACTCAGCCTCCTCTGAACTCCTTGGTGCTACTCAACAATGAAACACCAAACAACCCAGAATCCTCTTGGGTTTTATTCTTAAAATATAACACACCCTTTTTAACCTATTGGATAGCCATAGCCAAGCCTGACCTGCTCATCAGTATATTCCCCAAATGCCCACCATGATGTACAGTTGAGACTGCAAGGACTCTGCCAAGTCAAATGTCACCTGCCATTCCCCCCCACACACATACTTCTGTTCTCACAGACCTGTGCTCCCATCTCTAGAACACACCTACATTTATTTAGCTTTGGATTATGTACTTTTCCTAAAACTAAATAGGAAACTCAGACGGACAGAATGGTTCAGATAGTGGTAGCTCCTGGCTCCTAGAAGCTGCCTGGTAAACAATTGGTCAATGGGTAAATGGACTTTGTAGCTGCAGAATTGTGCTTTAAAAGCCATTCATCCTGGTACATCAGCAATAAAAAAGTCATACTGGTATCCTTTCTCTTAGAGAGAGCCCTGGGGTGTGCAGAGCAAGAGCAGAAAGTTCCTGGAAGAGTCTAGAAACTATTCTATTATTCCAGTGGGTCATCAATACCACCTGAGGTTGGACCAGTAAGATGCAGAAGTAGGCTGAAGATACAGCCCAGCGTTTAAGAGCACCAGCGGGTTTTCTAAAGGAGATGGGTTGAGCCAGGTTCAATTCCCGGCACTCACATGGTAACTCACAACTCTCTGCGACTCTAGTTCAGACATTCTCATACATGCAGGCAAAACACCAACGCACACAAAACTAATAAAATTTTTGTTTATGCTAGACGATAGTGGCACACACCTTTAATCCAGCACTCGGGAGGTGGATCTCTGTGAGTTTGAGGCAATTATGTCTAAAGGGAAGTCAGAGCTGTTACACAGAGAAACTCTGCTTCAAAAACCAAACCCAAGAAAACCAACCAAACAAACAAACACAAAACCCAGAAGGACCTCCAATGTCCATTTGCTTCCTTGAGGTTAGCCTCTATGATAGGTCACCTCCCCAAACAGGAAGGAAATGGGAAGTACTCCCCAAGTGATGAGTGGCCAGGGCAACAGACCGGGGGGGGGCAGTTATTATTGTCTAGCGCAGGTGCCAGGCAGGCACTGAGGAGGAGAGGACAGCAAAGATGCCACTTGGGTTGGTAGCTCAGCTGGTAGAATGCAGGAAGCCCTGAGTTAGATACCGTCACTACATAAAAACTTGGGTAGTAGTATATACCTGTAACTCCTGCATTTGGGTGATGGAGGGAGGAACATAAGGAATTCTTGGTCATCACTGAATAGATAGCAAGTTCAAGGCCAGCCTGAAATACATGAAACCCTGTCTTTTAAAAGGCAGAAAAGGCAAAGAAAAGATGCCAGCCACTCAATCCTGCCTTTTGAGGTCTCTTGGCTGTCCAAGGTACCTTCTTCCTTGAGAAACTTACACTACTTGGCCCTGAGTGTTCACTCCAGAGTCATTCTCCTGTCTTGTCTTCCTAGAGCACTTGATTTAAATATATCATAAGATATCTCCCTAACTCATTAGGAAAAGCATGTGATTAGACTTCGAGTCTTTCATGGGTAGGGATGTCGCTTTTGAATCTCTAGTGTTCCATCCAAGTACAGTGTGGTGCTTTGCTGGATGTGAACTCAAGCGAATCGACTTGAGGTCTTGGACATCCCCTGTGGAAACCAAACACAATGAAAAGCTCCTGTGAGAACAGTCCCGATGCCTTACCTCTTTAAGCACCAGTACACACTTGCCAGGCCCCACTGACTGAGGTAGCTCTGCAATCCTCCCTTTGTTCAGGAATGGGCCTGAGAAACACCGGTGGTTGACAAACAGCTGTGGGCAGCAGTACTTCCCGTTAACCGTTCCTGCTGGGAGAGAATCGCATAGTGAATGCTGGGAGAGAATCGCATAGTGAATGCTGTGGAGAGAATCGCATAGTGAATGCTGGGAGAGAATCGCATAGTGAATGCTGTGGAGAGAATCGCATAGTGAATGCTGTGGAGAGAATCGCATAGTGAATGCTGGGAGAGAATCGCATAGTGAATGCTGGGAGAGAATCGCATAGTGAATGCTGGGAGAGAATCGCATAGTGAATGCTGTGGATGACTACACTGTGGCTTATGGTGCTGTCAAGACCTGCGCTGAATCCAAAGATCTCGTCTTGACTGCTGGAGGATCTGGAGTAGAAATGAACTCTGAACGGTCGCCGCTTCCCCGAGAGCTAGAGCTGCTGTCATTCTAATCAAGCAGCCTGACTTCAGTTTGAAAGTTTGACAGAGAGATGCATGCTTTTCTCCTTGGAGAAAGGTGTCCCGTGGTCTAACACTAGCACATCAGCTCATCTGTAAAAACTGTATTAAGATACTATTCCACTTTGCTTGTTTTCCCATCATGTAAACATCAGAGTTTTCTGTAGATCAGATAGCATCTACATACAGAAAGAAGCAGACTGTAACAATGACAAACCAGAAATTCTTACACAGCTCAAGGACCACCATTGTCATACAGATAAGATCCTCTGTAAGTTCTACCCCAGCAACTCCTCTCATTGCCCTAGAAAAGTGGTTCTCAATCTTTCTACTGTTGTAACCCTTTAATACAGTTCTTCAAGTGGTGACGGCCCAACCATAAAATTATTTTCATTGCTACTTCATAACTGTAATTTTGCTGCTGTTATGATTCATAATGTAAATATCCATGTTTTCTGATAGTATTTGGTGACCCCTGTGAAAGGGTAATTTGACTCTCAAAGGCATTGTGACCAACAGGTTGAGAACCTCTGCCTTAGAAGCAACCATCACCCTGAAATATCTTCTTATCATTTTCATACAAATTAATAAACTACTTCTCAACACATGGATTGTGCAACAAATGATATGTATTTGGGATCTTTACAAAAAATATCATGGATGGTTTTCTATTGCATTTTGTTAATTGCTTAAATTTTCTAGAGTCACAAGTCAATAAAATTAATCAAATTTACCAATCAACTCAAAACATTCAGTTTTTACTTTTATAATGATTCATTCCTTTTATGTATATAGCAGTTTATTTGTTCTTTCTCTTACAAATACTTAGCTATTGATACTTTTCCTGAGTTTTCAGGATTGACTTAAGGAACGTGTCTTCAAAAGTTGACTTCTGCATATGGGCAAGAGATTTGTGTAAGGACATGGAAGTGGCTAGTCCATCCATCTGCATAGCTAAACTCTTAGTAAAGATGACCACACTGCTCCCTACATGACAACGCTATGGGCATTCCCAACGGCACCATGCTAGAGTTGCTCTTTTTCCACACCCAAGCCAACTAGGCATGGTCAGGCTTCTCCATGTTGACAATCTGATGGAGACAAAACACACCACATCATGGCTTGAACTCCCATCCTTTGGACATACTCAGTGGGGCATGTTGGGTTTGCTGTTCTATAGGCCACACTTGTGTGGAACTTGTAACTCTTCTGCTATGGGATCCCAAGTGTGCATTGTCACATATGACCTGACTAAACTTTCTTGGTATTTGTAATGTGTAATGAAGTTTCTCTTTGGGCTAAGAGACCTACTGTCTGGTGTACTCACTCAGCTTGTACCTAAGATATGCCACAGAAACAGTTATACTGCTTCAGAAATACAACTATTTGTGTGAAGGTAATTTAACAGTTGAGAAAGGCAGGTTTCTTAAACTTAAGACCCAGTAGATAGGAGGTAGGGATTTATGCTGAATCAATGAGAAGAGTAACATTACTGCAGTGGACTATACAATAGTAGCTGATGTAGTTTTCCAAAAGCACTTTGAAATTTGCATTTTATACAAGCTAGATAATTAACTTCACAACTAAATTTCCTTATAATTTTTTGGTAGTATTATCCAGACCTTTAGTTAAATGTTCATCTACTCTATTTATAGAGTTGTTCTCTTTATTACAAAGAGAACATCAGCTAGTGAAAGTATTCTTAGTACATAGACCATAGTCCTGGAATTCAAAGCAGATTTTGTTTGGTCAAGAACACAGAACCCTGAGTCAAGTGCCAGCTCATGCAGACATATCTAGTCACACTTGGTAGTCCAGTGGCCAATCACAACTGTATCTCACAAAGATGTAACAATGTATTAACAAAGGTCACAATCCTCTTCTCACCTCAGGTTTTCATTAGTCAATCAAAAGTGAGTGTGGGATAAGTAGGAGTCACTGGGGCAAGGGTACAGATGGATAAGCCAGAGACAGTGGCTCACACTTGCAATCCTAGTACTCAGTAGGCTGGGAGTTCAAAGTTGGCCTGGGCTACATGGCAAGACCATCTCTCAAGTAGAAGTATGATAAAAATGGCAAGAAAGGAATGCCCAGTACCAACGCTCAGTGTTTTTCTTTACTTCACCGTGGTCTGTGACACAGAATGCTAATTAGGTTTGTAATGGCCAAATACCAAACAGATCTTTTCCCTGCAGATTCCAGGACCTGTCTACAGCTCCTGGCCAAACAGCAGTAAAGATGAAGTACAACTTCAATCTAATAAAAAAACTTAAATGTGTATCTGTTACTGAGTAGCCACGGAGGAACAGAAAACAGTCTCAAAGTGGAGCTGCCGTGACTGAAACAATACGCATTTCTCCAATCACAACCACACAGCAGAGCAGGACAGAGCCCTCCACAGGGCCCACTTACTTGCAGTGTCCATGTGAGGGAACAAGCAAAGGTCATGAGGTATTTTCTCAACAGGCACCGTGGATGACAATCTGTGGATACAGAAAACCAGCTATCACAGACCACAGAAGAGAGGAGGGCACTGTGAACTCTTCGTCATTTAAAACGGCTACACCAGAAATTCAAGATAAAGTCATTTTGGGGTAGGCTGTGTGTACAAGAGCAGCACCAGTAAACTAAATAAGGAGGTCATTTTGGAAAACTGATTTTCGAATCCATTTGATGACCCTAAAAAGTTCAGGGTGCAAGTGCCCTGAGTGGTCAGCCCTGATCAGTGAGTCTCTTCTGAACTTAGAAGAATGTTCCCAATTACGTTCTAGATACAACTGCCAAATAATTAGAGTCAGACTTATCCACCGTGATGGTCTAATTGAAAACAACCTTCAGGTGATTCTGGACGTCCTTACTCTGTGCCTACCGTCCTTACTCAGTACCTATGTGGGTCGTGGCCATACTAAAAAGAAGGCTCAAGAGGGAGAACTATAAAGCTGTGATCGTTAAAATGTTAATTCTGGCTTGTCTGTTAGAGTTCATGTTCATAAAAAAGTGTGTGTGTGTGTGTGTGTGTGTGTGTGTGTGTGTGTGTGTGTGTGTTCTTACAGGAATATAAGAAAGCTGGGGCCCATGAGGTCTCAGCCCTGCTGGCTGCATAGGAACTACATTTTTTTTGAAAATTGATGTAAATATCAAATAAACCATCACCAGGTATCTTAAGATGGAGAGTGGTGCATCCTCTACAGCAGTGAACATCAGACGGTGGTTCCCCAAGCCTATAGAACTGGCATCAGCTGGGAATTTGCAGAAATTGAGATTCTTAGCCCGCACCCCCAAATACCCTGAATGAGAGTGTGGGGCCCAGCAATGTGTGAGTTGAGAGAACCATTAATCCATGAGCTGCAAACTAGGACTCACTCAGGAGCCTGGTGTTCGTCTATTGACTTCATGTTACATAGATCAACTGAAGGCAAGTTACAAGCCTGACCCACGGCATTCAGTGAAGATCACACATAAAATGTCCTCAAAACCATTATCCTCATTCAGTTACTGGTGCAAATGTTTGTTTTACTTCTTTTATCTAATTTTAAGCCTGAATACATAAAAAGGTGCTGTTTTCAGTTAACTTTATAGCCATATGTTTTTGTTCCTTAAGGAAACACAATCACCTCAGCTGGAAGGAACATTTGGATGTATTTTAGATACTTTATAACCCACTAAAGGTTCACCAGAAGTTTCAACTTTTCAAACACACTCTGCCCACATGTACAACACTTTACCCTAAAACACCTTTCCCCCAAAACTACAACCTATATTTACACCATAAATGAATAAACCCACTTATTTTACACATGGAACCAAATTTAATATTTAAAAAAAGTCGGGTGGTGGCGGCACACACCTTTAATCCCAGCACTCGGGAGGCAGAGGCAGGAGGATCTCTATGAGTTCGAGACCAGTCTGGTCTACAAGACCTAGTTCTAGAACAACCTCCAAAGCCACAGAGAAACCCTATCTTGAAAAACAAAAACAAACAAAACAAAAACCTCAAAAGTATTGTTTTTAAATGGGGATGTTAAAATGCAAAGGAGTAAAGCAACTTCTCAGGCCAGCCAGCAAGGTGACAGGGGAATTAGGGTGACAACCAAGTCTTTTGCCTCTAGACATTCAGGGTCAGCAAAACAGATCACCCATCTATAAACTACACTTGTCATATGAGGCCACCAAGAATCAGTACCAGAGAGAGTCATTCCTGTCAGTGTGGAATAAAATGAGAAATAACCACGGGAGCTGTAGAACGCTTTGAGGGTGGGCTCAGTATTTTGCACTTAATAACTGCACAAGGAACAGGAGCTGTCACCATCGATGCTGAGATGCTTGTTAACTAATGCCCCCCCCAAAAAAATCACTCAGGCCCTTTATAGCTAATCATGAAGTTTGGGAAGGAAAAAAAACAAAAACAAAACAAAACATACTGTTTCTCCGGCTGTACAACTGCAATCTTCCTTTTCTTCTCGGCTGTAAAACAGGAAAAGAAAGCAAAAATGACAGTTTAGTGAGGCTAGTCCTTTTCTAATGGCTTTAGTGTACAAGTGTGCGCGTTCTATTTATTCAGAGACAGGGCCTCATGCAGGCTGGAACTGGATATGTAGCCGCCAGCAACCCTGAGTGTCTGATCCTCCAGGACCCACCTCCAAAGTGGGATTACCTGGATGTGCAGCCACGCCCAGTGTGTGCAGTGCTGGGCCTGAGCCGAGGCTTCAGTGGATGCTAGGTAGGTAGCCATGTAGGCCTGCACTCTCTCAACAGAGCAGTTTCCCAGTCCCTCACTATCCTGAATACAAGAAATCTTTTAAGCCTCTAAATAATGAGGGTGGTTTTTAGGGAAAAGTCTTAGTGATTATTATTTTTATTAAGATGGGTCCTGTGTCTATTCTTAAAACTAAAAAGTTGCTGAGAGCAAGCGACAAATTTACATATCTCCTTACATTAAAGCAGATATGGTTTTATCAAGCATGAAAAATTGTAAGTATGTTTAATCTTATCACTACACTGGTTATTTCATTTTAAAGGGCATTTTTAATAAGGAAGATAAAGAGAACACATATTGTACTGCACTTGAACACACATTAAAGTAAATTGCTGCAAACTCGACAGAAATTGTGATAAGGTGAAGAATACTGCCAAAATAATATACCCCCACGTCAACCTCAGTGAAAAGAAAAATGAATTAGCGGTAGGGAAACAGGCATCTAGGAAATCAACCAGGAAACAATGATCTGGGGAAGATGAGAACACTCTACGTTACTATTTCTGTGAAGACTTTTATTTTTAATTAAGCAAGTGTGTCTGTGTTGGGTTATGTGGATGTGAGTCCAATCAAGGTGCCAGATCCCTTGGAGCTGGAGGTACAGGTGGTTTTGTGCTGCCTGAGGTGGGTGGTGAGAACCTAACTCAGATTCTCTGCCAAAGCAGTATATACTCTTAACCACTGGGCCATTTCTCCAGCTCCAATACGTGCATTCATTCCTTAAGCACACATTTGTGCTGTAAAGGAGGCAAACTTGAACTCTTATCCCACCAAACTCTAATGGTTATTGAACTTTGATTAGCAAATGCTACTCTTGGCATAGTGATGCACGCCTTTAATCCCAACACTCAGAATGCAGAGGCAGAGGCAGAGGCAGAGGCAGGTGGATCTCTGTGAATTTGAGCCCAGCCTCATCTACAAAGTGAGTTCCAGGACAGCCAAAGCTATATAGTGAGATCATGTCTTCAAAAAAAATCGCTAATGTTAGAAAATGCAGAATTGTCTTAATCAAGGCTAATCAACAACAAAAGTGTAGCATATATAAACCAAGCTATGGTCTACCCTTTTATAAAGATGATAATAATTTATTAGAAATAAATATTAACAGAGGACCTGGAGAGACGCTCACATATACGTACATATATCCATGCACAGGCACACACATACATGTAAATTAAAAATAACCTGAGCTGCATACCTTTTCTTAAAAATCAGGGAAAAAAGAAAAAGTAACACACACACACACACACACACACACACACACACACACAGAGTCTAATCTAAGCTTTCCCAATCACAATAATGCATTGCATAGCCTCCTTCAACTGCCTCCTTACTGTCACCTATAAAACATACCCAAATGTCCATTTGGTATCAGCACTTAAAGAATAATAGAAACAATAGTAATAAAGGCATTCCTTAGAACACGTAGACCCTTTACTTTCACAGCATCCTGTACCAAATCACCCATTTCTTCACCAAGATTACGGACACTATGTGCTCATCATCTCATTCCACTGGGCAGGCAACACTTACACACTGCCTTGTGTGGTGTGATCAAAGGGTAAAAATTTGCTTCACACCAGCCCACAGGGAAGATATCCATGGAATCCATATCCACAATGACCTCTGGGATTGGAGTCTGAAGACCTGAAAAGGGAAGAAACCAACATAATGGGTATCAAAAAGAAACAGAAGGAAACACACACACACACACACACGTGTGTGCGTGCATGTCCACACCCACACAAACGTGTACACACACATATAAAGAAAGCATCCCTAAGACTGAGAAATGCATTTTAAAATGATAATTGTATAGAAGATGACTTGTAGAGTATGTAGTCTTAAGATTGGCACAAATTTTGAAATAACTTAAGGGTGAGAATCTGAGATAGTTCAAGTAAAATAGGAGTTAGGGAAAAAGACATACACCGCTCTAAAAAGGGGGAGGAAAGAACGATGCTAAGAAAAATTGGATCAAAGCCAGATATACTCAAAAAGGGACCAGATGTCCCCTTTCCTAAGAGTAGCTATGAAATTAAAGACATGTGGTAAAGTTTGTAATCCACCATGACAGAATTCGTTCCACACCAAGCAAAAAGTAACTGTCAACTAAATAAAAGCAAACATTACAGCCAAAAGCAACAGCTATAGGGAAACCACTGTTTAGGAAGAGACTAGAGATACGGTAATTTCCTGAGAGGATGTGTTTACCTCTCAACTTTGACTGGAGTGGTTCGTTTTTGTATATGTATATGTATGCCTATGTATTTGTGTTGGTGTGTATATTCAGTTGCATTTGTGTACAGGTGTGAGTGCACTTCCCCATGGAGGCAGGAGGTCAACCACCAGTGCCATTCCTCAGGCCACATGCACCCACACCTTAGTTTCTGAGATAGAGTCCCTGGCCCTGAGATCTTAAGTAGGCTCACCAGTGAGTCTCATGGATCCCCCTGTTTCCGCTTCCTCATGCTGGGATTAAACACGCACACCACGACACTAGCATTTTCCCCTGGCAATCAAACAAAGATTCTTGTACCATTGTAACACATACCTTACTAACCAAGCTATCTCCCAGGCCCTAGACTTGTTCATCTTTTAGCTCAGTTTGTGACCTACAGGTGCTAACTAACCTGTTGCACGAAATACTTTGCTGTAGGAATATGTTCCTTTTTATGAGATATGTCAAAACTCTGCATCCTGATCCCTAATTATATCTGTGTAATAAACCAACATAACAGCTGGGAAATCCTGAGGAAAAAAACCAGAAATCTACAATTGCAGCTAAAATATCAAGCATCCTTGACTACAGAGAGAACAGATTTAGAATACACTCCTCCAGTTAGCAGAAGAAAATTCTACGTGAAATCAATTGTCCGTACAAAAAACAGCAGCAGCAGCAGCAGCAACAACAACAACAACAGAACAACAACAAATAGAACAAAACTTGGAAGAACAAATTCTCAAACCAAAATCAACAGATAAGATACGAGATCTACTAATATCTAGTGACTCTCTGAATGTACTTTGCCTCTGTGTCCTGACCAATATTTAAGATGAAAACACCACTGTAACCCTCATTAGACATCCATCTAACATTCATCAGACATCCATATCAGACACAGTATCTACTGAACTTTAAATCAGATCCCCTGACCTGCTTCCCCAAAGTCATTTTGACTTCAAGAAGCTAACCACCAAGACCCAAACACACAGACAGACAGACAGACAGACAGACACACACACACACACACACACACACACACACACACACCACCTACAAAACAAAACAAAAGCCAGTCCCAACTTAGCCGTTAGTTCCATGCCTCACATCCCCTTCTTTCACAACCATGTGATGACATTGTGAAAAGTACATATGTGGTTTAATAAGTGAATGCTCTTAATTTAATACTAAGCCAGCATACTGGGGAATAAGAAATGCCCTGGAGGGAGATGGTTCAGTCAGCAAAGTGCTTGCCCTGCAAACATAAACCCCTGGTCTTTTACAACCAGGCAGGGTGCCTCATGTTTGTAATCTGTTTTGAGGAAGCAGAGATAGGCAGATTCCTAAGACCCAGAACAGTAAGAGACACTGCATCAAAAATCAAGGTGGTCACAACCTGAGGAACAATAGCCAAGATTGTCTTCTGGCCTCCATATTAACACAGAGAGAGAGAGAGAGAGAGAGAGAGAGAGAGAGAGAGAGAGAGAGAGAGAGAGAGAGAGAGAGAGAGAGAGAGAGAGAATTTTTTTCAAGTAACTCTCCCAGTGTCTTCCTATGGATACAACTCTCTTCATCCTGAAGTGCTCATGATTCCTACATGATCCAACCAAAAGGGTCTCAAGTATGTTTCCCACACGCAAAATCATTTTCTTTACTTTGGGTTCATAGAAATAGCATTGGTTTCTTAGTGTCACAACCATTTTCCCACAGGTTAAATTATCCACCAGAAACATCTGCAGTTTTAGATTTTGTTTAGCCACAAATAAGATTTTCAAGGTGATTCAAAACAGTACTTCAAAAGAATGCATAAAATGAAGTTGACCACTTAAAGTCCCTCTGCCCAAATGTTCTGTTGGCTCAAGTACTACATCATATTAATGCTCTAATTAATATATACACTTCTGTATAAAGGATACATTTACTAGGCTTTAAAGTTCTTTCATTATGTGCCTCGCCCAAACAAACAGATATTTATAAGCTAAGAGGTGTGAACCACTTGTTTTTCCCCCCCCAAGGAACTTACACTCCTGCTTTTCTTTCACTTTAAATCTCGCCTCTGAAGGCATATTTGAAATAGCATAGGATGGCAAAGTGACTTATCCAGGCTGGGAGGCTGCCTTAGGGAATAAGAGTACTGCCCTGCAATCATGAGACCTAAGTGTGGTTCCTCAGCATCCGCATCAGAAGATGAGCAAAGGTGTGCCTGGCTTTAACTCCAGCACTGCATTGGAGAAGAGAGCTGAATCCTAAGAGCTCACTGGCCAGGCCAGGCAGCCTGGCCAAAATGGCAGGCTCTGGATTCTGTGAAAGACCATGTCTCAAGGAAATATGATGGAGAGGAAGCGGAGGAAGACACTGATGACCCTCTGTGGCTTCTGCACAGGTACACTCAGGCTGTAAGTAAAATGAATGAAAACAAGAAAAGAGGGAGAGAGGGAGGAAGAGAGCAGGGAGGGTGGGAGGGGGATACAGGATGAGAGAGAGAGAGAGAGAGAGAGAGAGAGAGAGAGAGAGAGAGAGAGAGAGAGAGAGAACATGCTGAAGCAATGTGGGTATCATTCAGGAAAATTTTTCCTGACCCCCATCTTTTAAACCCCATTCTGAATGGTGAGTAGCAATTGCTTTTTCCTTTTTATCAGTCTTATCAATTGCTGTGATGATCGCATAAGTGTAGATACATAGGACCAGATTCCAGATAACTTTTTAAAGGAAAGCTAATATTTCCAAGCCTGGAGACCCAACAGCTTTACAAAACGACGCATGTGTCTGGGACTCTTGCTTGCTCGCTCCAGCACTGCTGGGATTATAGAAGCACACCTAGAGACGTCACCAAGACTCGGGCAATATCTGTCACTTCGTATGTGAGCAAGACATGCTGCATGGGATTCTTGAGGAAGGAATAACTTACGAAAAGAGAAGAAAGGCCCCTTACAGACAAGACCACACTTGAGCAGGCCTTTGACTAAGCTGCATCTCGTCAGTATCACTTCCACACTTATCTAGAAGGTCCATCTCAAAACTCATTAGGAAGCAGAGAGCCCCTTCATAGGAAAGCAGTCAAAAAATGCAGGCTGTATTCAAGTGTTGGAGGAGTCTGCAGCTAGTTAAATACTTAATGTGATGATCTCCAAGGTGTAGCGTAGAGCGAGGAAAGACAGGTTGTACTCTCGAGTGTAAAGCACACAATGATCTGTCTTCAAATGTATGTTTACACTTGATGAAATAAATCTGAGAGGAAATGTGAAGTACTAATGGTGGTAACTCCTGAGAACAGAGCAAAACACAGAGGAGTAGGAAGGCCAAGACCCAGATGTTGGGGAAGACATGTGTATATGTCAATAAAGAACTGTTGACCAATAGGGAAGCAAGATAGGTGGGACTAGGAGTCGAGGAGGACTCTGGGTAGGAGAAACACAGGGAGTCAAGATGTAACTGCCATAGGGATAAGAAGCCCGGAAAGTTCTCTGGTAAGAGAAATACTTATATTAACAATTATGGGATAAATACTTAAGTCAGAGCTAGCCAGTAAGAAACAAGCAAGGCCAACAGCTTCATAATTAATATAGCCTCCTGTGTGCTTATTTGGGACTGATGTGGCTCTGGAACCAGGCTGGCGGGAAGGCGTCTCTTTACACCCAGAGTTAGAGTTTAATACAAAACTTTGTGAATGTTGTCTTTTACAAAGTCTCCACAATCTCCAGAATAATGACAACACAGGATAGTCAAGGAGAAAAGAAGGATTCTGTGCATAAATGTTGTCTTGCCGTCAAGTTCAAATTAATAAAATGCAAGTTACCATACAAGAAAATAAAATGAAACCACTGCTAAAAGAAGAACTTTGCTAGTCCTACAGTTAATTTACAAGCATCTGAATTTGTAGGAATCATATGGGAGCCTTAAAGATGATTTCCCATCTCCTGTAGCCTTTGTCCTCCCATCGTGGATCCCAAGACTCTGTTTGCCTATGTGATTGCTAGAACTTTGTACTGCAGTTCAATCTAGTCAATGGCATGGGCTACTTCAATAGAGATGGTGACCTGCTGTAACCCAGGAACATCAGGGTGACACACGGGGTGGCTTGGCAGGGCATTTTAGTGGAGGAACACAATCCTGCCAAGGTCCCAAAGATACGCAGTTGTGTCACTTCCAACAAGTCACAAGAGAGAGAAAGCACAGGTGACTTACAGAGTGGAGATGCAATGGGGTACCACAGGCAAGAGGGATAAGAGAAGAGAAAGCTTCAGAGCCAATCATGATACAAGTAATGATTTTCATTTACTTCAGTAATAGAATTGGTACAACCTCTTCATCTTACTTAAATGCTGGGATGGGGAAAAGATAAGAGACGTTTAAGGGAACAACTTTACTTGGGCTAATGTTCTTCGTCAAAGTTAAAGGGCATGGCAAATATGGACAGACTTAA